ACTGAGACTAAATTTTATCCCATGTGATTTAAAATATGATTATTTTTTTTTATCTCAGTCTTTATGCAAAACTGGGCTAACACACATCACAAGCGTACATCTCAGACAGATGCCAAAAATAACTGATATGTGCTCTGTACTGTTGCATTACAATACAAAATTACGCAATGTTATGACAGAGGATTGTGGGTAAAAATGTCCAGAGAAATACAAGCGCTTCAACATATAAATCAGATGTTGTTGGAAATCCGGGTTATGTTTCGAAATCATGTAACAAAACTATGCATTTAGTCAAACAAAATACTGATGGCACTGGAACACACCCACAGGAAGTATGCTTTTGGGAAAGGCGTTTCATCGCACAAACAACTCACCTTCGCTGCAGCGGTGATGGGACTTGCTCTGCAGTTTGCCCGTCACCGGGACATTCATAGGCTTTACTTTGTTCTTCGCTGCAGTTAAAAGAATCATTGCTCAAACAAATCTCATGTGAAGCCTGTTCTTCTACAACCAGCTTTAACAATAACATGACCTGATAAACACACACTGACCAGCATTTAGGAGTAAAGATCCAATCCAATCCAGTGCAAACGTGAGAACAGGTACAATTACTGGTACCTATGCTAAAATGTGAACCTTACTTAAGACTCATTTGAAGCTGTTTATCACAACCAAGCTTTTATCTACTCTAGAGCCTGACTAAGATAAGATTTTTCAGGCCAATACAGATATCTGATTATTTACCATTCCAATGTTCCCAGTCTTTAAGGACATTTTTTTGTTTGTTTGTAATTTATTGTTTACATTCCACATGCCTTGGCTTGGTTTATGTGGTTGTTGGGTTTATACTGTTATGGAAGTTGAAGAGTGCCCTCTGGTGGAACATCAGCGCTCATAAGTCCTACCAGAAGTAACCCTTGAAACTCCTTTCTGTAATGCGTGTCTGTGAAGGTTCTCAGTCATCCAGGTCATCGTAGTCAAAGGAGCTTCTGTACTGTGCAATTTCTGTCAAATTTCAGGCCCCCCCAAAATGACTGGGTGTGCTTCAGAAGTTAGTCAGGGTAGTCTTTGCCTATGCAGCTACCCTTGGAAAAACCTGGAAACTATTCTAAGATTGTCAAACCACGTATTTATTGATACACACTGCAGTGTCCAATAAATGTGATTTTTATTAATTGGACCCCAAAAAGTTGTTTGTGTTCATTTTCTCAGTGGGAGAAATGTTTCCTCATTCATCCAAGTGATTTCTTCAGTTTCAGCTGAATGCAGGTTTCCCCTACCTTATAAACAGTACATTTGCATAATGACTGAACCCAGCAACAATGGGCTGTGAGGTCAGTTTCTTGATCAATAATATGCAAATTGTCTAATACATAATATCAGCCAATGACACTAGTCCACAGGTAAATTAGTCATGTTCTTTACAAACAGCCAGAGTGTGCGAAAAGGTCAACGATTCTCACAGCTTTCTGACGGACACACAAACATGCAACCATCCAATGCATGCATAGCGGTCAAAAATGTGTTCTGTAATACCAGACCAGACTGAACACAACAGCAATAACAACAACCACAAGAACAACTAGTGCAGAAACAACACAACAGCAATGATGTTTTTCACCTTACCTTTCCTCTGTACTGGCCCCTCCCCTCTAACATCACCATTAAAGGATGTTTCTGATTGGCAGACATTCACAACACAACGTTATCAGTCTGACTCCTTAATTACTTTTTTCTTTTTGACATCAAAGGTGAAAAATCAGCTCATTCTCCAAACCGCGACACAAAACACCCACATATTCTTGGTATACACATACTGTCTGTGTGAATAGGTATTGGTTAAAACAGCTGAGACCTGCTGAAGCCTGGATATGACCTATGTGGTTTCCTGTGGTATCTGCCTAACTTAGATTGGGTTTGATGGACCTGCTGACATGATATGTCAGAGTCATCTGGAGTCATCTCCAACTCAGTGGCTAATCCATCCCTGGCCTTGAGCCCCACTGTTGTTCTAAACATTATTCTGTTCAGTGGTGAATTGTCTCGTATGTCAGGTTTGTATTAGCCAAGCTAACAGATGAGGACCAAAAGTTTAACATGCCCATGTTGAGTGACTGTGATGAGTTCCAGAAAGTTTGACGTCAAAACATAGATAAGCAACACAACTAAGCAGGAAATCTGAAGTTTGAGCCACAAACAAATACACAAAAAAATTAAAGACAACAAACGCTTCAAACCAGGTAACAACTTTTTGTAACTCTTACCTCTTCTGACTTTTCTGGGGCCAGGGGTTTTAATGGCCTCTCTAAGAACTGCTTCTACGATGGAAACCACAGACATGGTTGTAACTTCAGGGCCATTTCAATTTGACTGACAGTTTTCAGGTTCATGGTGCAGTAAATGTTTCATAGTAACAAAAATAATATCTCTGCATGGTAGTAACAGGCTCAGGTTAAACGCTGTCACACATAACTGCTTATCAAAAAACAGTTTGAGCTGGTCGCAAAATAACTGGCAACTTGTGAGCAAATGCGATTTTAGAAGTCAGAATTAGAGTCACATTCATTTTCCTTTTACAGCTGAGCACACCACATAAAGATTGCCTAAAATTTGCAAGACTTCAAACTTGGAAATGTAATGTGTGTGTTTTACAATTTATTTTTGTAATTCATAAAGTAAGTATCATTTTTTTATTGGTTTGAACTATTCTAAAGATACATTGATTTTATTAAATTCTTAATAATCAATCAATACACTACTTTATTTCAGTTTTACACACATATACACAGTGTTGGGGAGTAACGGAATACATGTACCGCCGTTACGTATTTAAAATACAAAATATGAGTAACTGTATTCCGTTACAGTTACCGTTTAAAAAGGTGCTATTTAGAATACAGTTACTTTGTTGAAATAAATGGATTACACGGCGGTACTTCCCTGTTTCATATTGTGGCGGGTCAAGCCTGTTTGGGTTTTGTTTGACAGCTACGTTCTGTTGTTCCAGGCAGCAGCGTTACGGTTGCCATGGTGACGCGCTCTCTCTGCGACTGTGTGTTTCCTGGGTGAGAGAGCGCTTTTGTTGTTGTTGTTGTTGTGCTAAGCTAATAGGCCTAAAGAATGTAGCCTTATGGCAGTGTAGTCCGTGCTGCAGGGAGAATGGACTGCCATACCCGTTATGTGTCTGTGAGCGTGAGGAGGGAGAAAAATGTGAGTGGAAAAGTACGAGCTGTCACCGAGCAGAAACAATAATAACCACTGCAGCCAAGAAGAGTGCCTGACGAGCTCAGTTGTAAGTAAGCTATTAAGACTCGACTGTACACCGTGTTCGTGTTTTCCTCCAAAAACAATAGTTAGCTCCGTTGGAGCAGCCTTTCAACGCCTCTCTCTGTCTCTCGCTAGCAAAGTTGACCCAGACAACAAAGTAAAGCTAGTTTTCGGCTATGAGCCCGACACAGAACCCACCGTATTAGTCAGAGGTCCCTTTACTACGGTTTGGAGCCGCGGACCTTCAGTAACAGTAATAAATCACAGCAATTGTACATTCATATAGTTGTAAACAGCATGATAATATATTAAGTAATCCAAAGTATTCAGAATACGTTACTGTCATTGAGTAATGTAACGGAATACTTTACAGAATGCATTTTGGGGCATGTATTCTGTATTCTGTAATGGAATATATTTTAAAAGTAACCTTCCCAACACTGCATATACATTATTATATAGAGTATTATACTGTACGTATACTCAATGTTCCCTCTAAGCTGCGTGCGTGCGCAATTGCGCACTGCTGGCACGGTCTCTGCGCACAGAAAATCTGCGTTGCGCACAAAAAAAATCTAACCTGAATTGAAATTAAAATTAAAACTTTAACAATTCTGTTTTGCAGTGTTAGTCAGTAAGTGACTGGCTGCTCCCGTATGGGATTAGAACGATGCCACCTTATCCCATAGTCCAGCCAATAATGCGATTCACATTCGTATATACACAGCTAATCAACATCGTTGACAGGCTATGACAGCGTCCTTATGTGCCGACACCAGTGTTTTACCTAGCAAAGTGGCGTGGCTGATATGGAGTGAAGCCACGTTAATGACAACGTGTACAACCATTGGAGATGTGAGCAGGACAGACGGAACAACTGACGGAAAAAGTGGGGACTTTATACCAGTTTTTGTGTTGATAGACCACGTAAAACCAGAGTTATGATAAAAATATATGAAATGTTTGGTTTTCTTCCTGAATACTATCGTTGTTTATATTTACTGTAGGAAGAAACGGTAAAAACTGCGTTTTATAAGGAAAACACTAAAAAGCACGCTCCGCCTGTGAGCAAAAACAAACAAAAAAAAAAAGCCACACCCTTTCTATTGGTCGAAAAATGTACCATGTCGACCAATCAAAAAATGATATGGCAACGTGGCATTTAGTTGTTTAGGAAGGGGGGAAGTTTTGAGATGTGAGAGATTTGCGACGTTTAGCGCAAATCTTGTGTAGTTAGTGTGTAATGTAGACGTGTAATGTGTTGTGTGTGTCAGAACAATGAGGCAACTACTGAGTGTTACAGGTATTACAGGAGTGATACATCTCCTGTTGTCAGGCCTGCAGGTATCAGGCTGCTGTTCTCCTTTATCTCATAGTGGACAGAAATTATTTTTTGGAGTGGCACAAATTTGATGCAGAACAGCTGATTGTTCTGTAAATAGTTTGAAATGTTTATTTTAAAAAATGCTTTGGCTGCATTTTTAGGTAAACGGCTGCAAAAAACTTGTTTGCATAACTCAGTTCTTCTTTTTTTGAAGAAGTAACTATATAATTAATTGCCCAACATTATATAATGTATTTTGCAGACAGAGTTACAGGACTCTCTCCCAGACCACAGACTCATACTAATAATACAAGTCAGAGCTTTACAAAAAAAAAAAAAAAAAAGAAAGTTGTGTTTTCAGAATTGGAGTTCAAGTTATTTTTTACTTCCAATAGTGTTAACATACTACACAGGTCATGAACAAGATTTATTTACATTTTCATTGTAAGTGGGCTAAAGCAGTTAATTAAAAGTAGTATAACATAAATGTAAATGCTGTAATTTGATTATTTTAATAAACCATGTGACTTGGATGGATTCCATGCTGGCGTGACCACAGTGCACATGTCTGCTGTTGCTCACAGTGGTCCAAGGGACTGCTCAGGGAGTTTGTGTGTTCACTCAGACACATGAAAAATTTGAGGGAACATTGCTTGTACTATGCTAAGAAAATGGAAGACATCATTCATGGGTTTTCCTCTTCTGCTAATATAATTGTAATCGGGTATGCATAAAGGTTGATTAAGGGTCTGAAGTTTGAACCATGCAACTGCCATGGCTTGTCAAGTTTTCTTACATTGTCCAATTCTGTCATTGCAAATTTGGTGACATTGTTAGCAAGAATACTTTAAATCAGATGCCCTGCAGTCATTGTCCACACTGTAACAGACAGCCTTGTGAGGAACATTAGAAGCCACAAACTCAAGTCAAATCCTGTAAAGTAAGAAAGTCTAGCTACAACCTGACAGTCCAAAAACGTCTTCTTTGATGTGTAACTTTTTGTGTAGCATTACTATTGTGGAATTATTATAATTTAACTTTTTAATCCTCCAGGAACGCTGTCCTTAATATTGTTTAAATTTAACAAAAGAATGAAAAAAATCAATTAAATACAACTCCCTAATACAGCAGAAGTTTCTGAATTAGAAAGATGTAACTTCACATTGTTCTGATGTAGTGAATGAAACCTAATAGATCAGCTGAAATAACGGATAAGTCAGATTCCTTTATGTCGGACCAAAGCCTTCTCTTCTGCTGTCAGCACAAATACAGGAATACACTGCAGCACACTTGCTGCACTGAAACCAGTTGCTCCACAAATGAACTGTATGCAAAAAATCACAGGTGTATTAATCTGGAAATCACTCATGTTTAGGGTTAGGGTTGCGTACTGCAGTCCAGCTGCAAGGAGCCGGTCTCTGCTTCCACAGAGATAAAGCGCTCGGCTTGCTAGCATGCTGGCTCTTATCCAGCTTTTATTACCCTGCATTGAAAAGCTGATTAAGGATCAACAGTGGCTCAGTGCTTTGAGTTAGGGAACAGCACACCGGTGAGTTCAAGGACAGACTGAAGGTCGTTGCGGTTCATCACGCGACACTGACTCAGAGAAAGGGACAGGAGGGATATAGCTGAGTCACTGGCAACTTCGCAACAAGCTGGAACATTTAATCGAACAACAGGATTTTACTTGGTTTTTTAATTATTATTTTAAATTACACCTTTTTTTCTTATGCATGATAATGATTTATTTAAGCCTTCTAAGCATTTATAAGAAGCTTATAGGCCTTTAATAAATGTCAAGAAAACTGTAAAAAAGCTGTAAGCAGATTTAACTATTTGTTAATTAATTTAACTACTCCTGAATGGAAGATGCAGCATCAGGTACAGAAGTAAGAAAAAAAATAAAATCTAATTACAGACAAATTTATTAGGGAACTGATAATGAAAGTAATCATTAGTGAGGTCCTGCTGTCTCCAACATCTTGCATCTTGTTTACTTATGTTAAAATGGTAAAATACCTCATCACAGAAAGTCCTTTAAAATTAAGGATCAAATTGTAGCTAAATAATGAGGTTAGAACTTTGACATTTACACATACATATTTGGTTGTTGACCCAAATATGTATGTTGAACCAGTTTTTAAATGAGCATGGTGCATTTTTAATTTCTAATTTTGCTGCAGATGTGATATTATCACCCGAGAAAACATTGGTTACCTTCTCCCAGAGGGTCCAATGTGTGGATCATCAGCTGGAAGATGGTGCTCCGAAGCGAGGTGTTGTGTAGGGAGGCTGAGCTGCCTCCTCGCTGCAGGGCTGGACGCACCTACATACAAACAGGCATGTAGTCAGAACTAAAGCATTTAACCTTAGGGAACCTTTAATAATACTAACCAGTGCAGACCAGTGAGAATCAAAAAGGTGTTTTGCTTTTGTTAGAGCAGCCATTTTGACAAGGTATTGCAAGGGGAAAAACAGGTATAATTAATAACGTCAACTATGGCTATGATCCAGTTAGAGGAACCAGGGTCCTGGTACTACACATAAATGGAATGGGTTTAAAACATTAAATACAACAGGACTGTAAATGACACCTGAGCGTACCCTACACTGACATGCCAAAATGGCTGGCATGAAATGGGTAACAATTATTGTCAAATGTTACAGGCTAACACTGTCATCTCACTCTAGAGTTTTATTGCTGAAAAGAATAATAAATGGAGCCTGTAACTATAGTTACAGCCTGTAACAATATGTACAGGCTGTTTTGCCAATGTCACTATCTTGCCTTGTGATAAACACCTTTAAGAATTGGACAATAAAAACAAAAGGGAGAGAAGGACTAGTGCCTGATGGACCTCAATATCTACCCCAAAAATCAAATAACAAACTGTCTCATCAGATGACTTCTGACTTTTGTTTCAAACGTTGAAGGGCCAAAAACAGTCAATGAAAGTGTGAGGAACAGATTAACCAACATGTTTCTCTACTTTAACGCAAGATGCTAACATTAGCATGTCCAGCTAACTAGCTTACCATAGTAGCAAGCCAGGCCAAGTAAGTCTGATAATTTTAATTAGTGTAAATTCAAGTAACAAGTTCACTGGGTTATTAATTATTAAAGAACTTATGTTATTATATCAGAGTTGTCCACCTCTGTTATTCTTTATATTGGCTTTGGAAGTTTAAACTGCTGTGTTAGCTAACACTATGTTTGCTAAAGCCTGAGGTTTTAAAACTTTTTCCAGACAAGTGTGTTTGCTAACAATACATATACATATAAAATAAACCAAACCTACAGATTTTAAAAGTAAATCTAACACTTAAACGCTACTACAACAGCTACAACAGGAAGAGCCTTACACTCCTTGTGTAGATAAAATATCTGCTGATCCTTTACGATCTTATTCCATTATGAACTGATGCATCCCTCCATTAATTCATCTGAAAGTAAATATTCATTTTTGCTTTGAAATTAAGGAAGTCACACTGCAGTTTAACTGGAGATTTAGCCAACAAATAACATAAGCTTTATATAAAAGCTCTAAGGGCCATTGTGGCATCACCCAGTTGTCCCATTACCATATTAGTGTTTCCAGGCCAGATTGAAGTGATGGAGTGGCCAAGGAACACTGCATGCTTATGTGGTATTGACTTTTTTTCACAGCATGGGGTCACTAAAAAGCTAGTCTGTTTTGTCATCTTTTTGGACTGTAATTTAAACCATAATTTACAAATTGAACATCATTTTATATTCAGCAAGAACTGAAAATAATGACTGACACCATAAACTCAACATTTAAGTGCTTACTGATGTCCTTTAAAAAGTGATCATTAGAGTTGTTTTGCCAGACATCTATATAACTGGACATCCTTTTTTGCAACTGGGGAGTTCACCCTCTACTGGCCAATAGAAAGACTAGATTTAAGTATTTCACTGTATTTAATTTTTCAGAGCTGGGGCTTTGTTAATCCTTCATATGGTCTAAACAAACAAAAGGTTTGTTTTTCAAACCTTGAGTCTTGTCTTGTCATCTTGTGAGTCTGGAAGCAGTTTGCTGCTTTGAGGGCTGCTTGGAGGTTGTACAGGTTCTGGTTTGGATTTTTCTTCAACTTTTGGTGCAGCAACTGGAGCAGCTGGAGCAGCAGCAGCAGGTGGTGGAGGTGGTGGTGCTTCACTTTCCTATAGTGAGGCAGTTTAATAGCAGTTCAGGTTAACAGTAGTTCGAGTTACCTCACACGTATACATTCAAGCATATGAACAGCTTTGGCAATTTGATTGGTCTGTATTTGTATGTGTTATTGCTCTTAATTGGTTCTGTGAAGCACTTTGACATAACTCTGGTTTTTAAATGTGCTATATAAATAACATTGTATTGTATTGTAATGTACTGTAGAAACTCAGTCTAAACTCAGTCATAGGAGTAGACATGCAAAGTGATGAATTGACATGGTTCCAGATGTAGTCTCGAGACAGGTCAAGAATTCCAGGTTAATCCTTTACAAAAGACAGTAGTAAGCCCCTAATCTAGTTAAAAGTCCAGCCAGCATGAGTTTTTCACCATCAGCAGAAGAGTAAGTCACAACCCTTAAGCCTTGAGGCTGATCCTTTTTAAATCTTCAGTTTCAACAACTGCATTATTCCTACTGATACACAGCTTCCACGATGAATGCTCCTAAACTGAGCTCCCAAATCTATGTATATATGTGTTTGTGTATGCAACAGGTGATATTAATGTGTTCTATTGATGAAAAGAACAAAAAAAATGATGGTTGAGCATGTATATAAATGTGAACACCATGTACTGAAATCTGTGAAGAGGTTTTGAATTTCAGCAATTCTGACCCAGTAATGTGGCAACGCATCTCACTGCACTTGGTGTTAATACTGAAGCACATGCTGATTGCAGACATGCTTCAGGCTAATTGGCGAACCTGCTGCGGGCCCTTGAGATATTGTAATGCAGTTCTGCATGTTGATTACAGCCTCAGACATTTGCTGATCTCTCCCAGCAGCAGCGGAGCAGAGAGCTGTTCAGCCTGCAGGAAACGAACCTTTTATTCCTTTGTTTTTAAATTGTAAAGGAAATGATGTCTCTATATAGTGGTATTTCAGGGCTTTGACAGAACGACTGACACTTGTATCACTTCACCCTGTGACGCCCCATCTATGACACCTGGAGTCCTCTCTGTTCAGTACCATCAAAGGATTTTACACAAATACAGTCTGTCACCTGCTCAGAACCACAAATCACTGTCTCTCTTTCAGTGTGTCCGAGCAGGCGGCAGTCCCAACTGTGCGGAGATGAAAGGATAGAAAATATACTGTGTATACTGAAAATAAATGGATAGATAGTATATCTGGTAACAACTGCTTAGAGAAACATCTGTTTTGGCTGCATCCATCCTTTTATGTTTGATAAATGCGTGATGAATGAAAGAAATTCTTTTGTTCTCTTATTGCTGAAGCAAAAATAACTCTAACACCTGTTAACGCTTCATTCGCTCTCCTAATGTCAACAAATCTCATGAAAGAGCCAAACCCAGTGTAGCAATGTACCTCTGCACAGTGACTGACTCCATAAGCCTGTCTGAAGGCAAACCTTCAATCTTTTTTTTTCTTTCTTCTATTTATTTTACCTAATTTCAAGTGAACTTGTTTCATTTCAGTGAATTGTGAGTCTTTGTAGCAATGTGCAGTTATTTATGGATGTTACTTTCTTTCATGCTTTCAAACCCCATCTCTCCTCACAGTGAGCGTGAAGCCATGAACAAAAGAAGATGCTCAAGTTGCTCATGTTGAATATAATTTGACCGAAAGTGCAATAAAAGTGTCACAGCAAGTGTTCATTTGTCTAAATTTAAAGAGCAAAAAACCAAAGTGACCACGAAAGCCTGGAAGCCTGATGGCAGGTAAGCTAGTCCAAGCAGCACGCACACACACGCACGCACACGCACGCACACACGCGCACACACACACACACACACACACACACACACACTGCCTTTTCTGTATTAAAAATGATTACCAACCAATGTACTGTGTAATTATTATCTGTTAATGAACTATTCAACTGATTAATTATTTTAGCCCAGGAATTAATGATTTCACCTCTAGGCGCAATTCATCAATCAGACCAAGAAATTAAAAAAAAGACAGAAAAATGGGGAAACTGTAGCCATTGAACACCTGTTTTAAAAAAGGGACCTTTACTGACCTTCTCTGGCTCCTCTGTGGTCCACACCTTAACGATGCTCATGTGTTTGTTAAGCTGGGTCTTGACCGCCTGCTCGATCTGACTGTTGAATTTCATGAAGCTCACATAGCTGATGTAGCCCAGCACCAGCAGGATGCTCTCCCACCACAGGATCATGTTATCCAGGAAGAAGATGATAAGCATGATGAGGTCCAGGATGTAGAAATTCACGTCCCTGAACAGAGGCCACCAGGTCAGGTGCAGCATCTCCCGAGAGAAGATGGCACACATGCCTATCACAAAGAGAATGTTGAAGACGGCTGAGCCCACAATGGTGCCGATGCCCACGTTGCTGTGGGAGATGAAGACCCCAATCAGGGAGGTGAAGAGCTCAGGGGCAGAGCCTCCCGCCGCCATAAATGTGGCCCCAGCCACATCATCTGAGATCTCCAGCTTGTTGGTGATGACTTCCAGCGCAGGGACGAAGAACTCATCGCAGACAATGGCCAGGGCGACAAACATGTAAACCATCCCTACAATGTGCAGGGCCACCCAGCCCTGTTGACGCTGCTCTATCGAGAACAAGTCCTCTGGGTAGTCACCCTTCCTGTGAGGTGGCTGGGTTGGGGGGTAGTGTGGAGTTGCGGTGGTCAGTGGCGGTGGAGTTGGTGGCGGTTTGGGAGGCTGGGGATCTACATAGATACACTGTTCGATATCCGTCCTGTTGACGACTTTCACCAGGGTAGCTTTAGTTTCCTCAGTCTCATTAGACGGTATCAACTCCCGGATGCTGACCTCCACATGTTCATCGCTACCCACCTCCGCTCCATCATCCGTCTGGGCGGAGGCTAGTGGCTGTGACAGCCTGGCCTTCAAAGTCAAGGTGTAGACGAAACACAGCAGCACACCTGAGATAAAGAAGAGGATGCGGCTGCACCTTAGTCTCCTCCTCTGAGGCAAGTATACGTTCATTGTCTCGACTCCAAACAGGAAGTTATGTCAGATGCATTGCTAATCCTTAGTCATGCCTGCGCTCTTATGTGGTATGAAGAAGCCAACGGCAGACAAAAAAGCACATGTACGCACAAAGTGTGTTTCATCTTCAGCTTTGACCTGTGGAAGGACTGAAAACCAGAAAATACCTACAGCTTAAAATCACATCACGAACACGTGTGTATTTATAATGTCCTCTCTGCTTGCATACTTGCAGATATACTAAGGAAAAGTGTGTTTGTGTGTGTGTGCGCGCGCGCGCGCGTGTATCTATGTGTGTGTTTGAGGGTGATAGAGGATGCAGACAGCCACCTGTTACTATGGCTACATAATCACTCAGGCTTTAGCTTCTCACATAATAGGAGTCCATTGAAAAGACGTCAAACATGTTAAAGCGGCGAGAAAAAACAGGAGATCCGTCTAAATAAAAGCAGTAAATACTGAGATTCCTGCTGATTGTGGCTTAAAGAGCGCACAGAAATTAGCGTGATGAAATCCGCGCGTGCTGTAAATGAAATAATACTAATAATTCAAACTGCCAGATGTGCATTAACGTCAACATGTTTTTAAAAAAAACAAAACAAAAACAAACAAACAAACATGAAATCTGCGAGTGAAAGACGCGCGTTGGGGTTTAATTGAGGACAGCCCGGATTATAATGCAAGGTCGGTGTACATCATTAATCTACACTCTATCAGCATTCTAACGTATTTCCAAAAAGAGGATAAATTGCAGAAAGCAGCGGTGTGAAGAGAGCAAGGACGCGGATCTTACCTGTGCGGCCGGCTGCTCGGCTCCGCGCCGCTGCGGACTGCTCCTCCAGCTGTGCGCAACGGACGCAGAGATGCTGACTCCGGTTTTTGGGGAACTACAAGGGCGCACCGCATGGCAGGGCTTGTACGAAGCTCAGCATAATGCTACTAAGAGGATAAGCAGCCAAACACCTTTCACCTCCCCTCTCACACATGAGGCTGTATCAATACGCCAACATTCAAACTGCTGCTGGGCTCGCAGGTGTAGTTTTAAGGCGAATCCTGAGAGTCTGTTGCCTGTTGAATTGATGTAGAATAATGGGGCGTTCAGGGACTTGCACAGGAAGCTGGGTCCTACTTAGGGTGTGGTCAGGTGTTTCAGATAGAGAAACCGATTATTACGTGAAATTATTATTTGCGTCACAAAGAAGAAAGCGTTATCTAAACATAAATATCCGCTTGGAATGAAACACTGCAAATAAACGCTCAAAATAATTAAACAGATGAAGTTAATAAAGCTTAATATGATTATATTATTAACTTCTGCTGGCTTAAATGCTTTTTAATTTAATTTTTAATCAACAAACTATTGCGCAGATCGGGTAAACAGCACTTAAAAGGATAATTTCACCATTCTCATTTTAATTGTTGTAAGTGTAAGCATACATCTGACGTCATCATCTTAATCCAGTTGGACTAGTAGAAATGCATTGATGTGAGGCTTCAAGCTGATCATAGTATAATATATGCAACTATAACATATCCGAAAAATGATTAAGAAGAACTGCAGAGCAAAAACAAAGAGCAATTAATGAGTGTACCATGGCTGGAATACTCTGAGCTTCCACTAGCAAAGCATGTGGATGTTAGTTAACATATTTAGCATGCTGTGTCATATTAAGTTGTTCTAGGCCCGTTATATTGTAGTTGTTAAGGATGAGTGTCATTCACCTTCTTGTTAGATTAGCAAACATGTGACACCCAGTGGACAGTGAGACAGTGATTTGAAGACCAACTGTGACAACACAGAGTATGTACAGTGATACTCTGCTCATTGTAACTAATAAAAACTTCTGACATGATCTGCAAATTGTTAATACTGTAGTTTTGCGAAGGTACTTTAAATCTTTTTGCAGAGGCTGAGTTTGATTGATTGGGGCCGGATAGCGAGGACACTTTTGATCCAGGAGCAGGAGGCAGGGGGAAGCTGGAGGTGGTCCAGTTTGGGACAATCTTCAGAAAAACCAGAAATGTGGCGTTCAGGGAACAAAAGGTTGTTTGGAAAAAAAAATTTAAGCTATGTTTTTCTTAATCTTATGGGACAAGTAAATACAAATTGAAGTTTGTTTATATAGCACCAAATCACAACAATTGCTTCAAGGTGCTTTATACTGTAAGTTAAAGACCCTGCAATAATATAGACAATACCCCCTATGAGCATCCAATTGGCGACAGTGGGAAGGAAAAACTCTCATTAACATCAAGAAACCTTCAGCATAACCAGGCTAAGGGAGGGGTGGCCATTTGCTGCAACCAATTTAAGATTAGGGTATAGAGGACAAAAGGCACACTGTGCAAGAGACCCAGAGATGAATAATAACCAAAGATTAAATGCAGAGTGGTGTATAAACACAGAGAAACTATGTGATGTTGTACACTGACAGACATGAAAAAACTTTTTTTTTAAACAACATTTAATTAAACTTAGTTGGAATAAATTTTCATAATCTTAACATCATGGTTTTGTTACTGAGTCTGCTGACGTAATTTGTTACTTTAACAAATTACACCAATTACGTTGTTATGTCTTTCTGTTCAGCTCCTCGTTAACACACAGATGTCACCAGAAAATCACATAGCAGCAACTCATTGCATTTGGGCATACAGACATCAAGTCAGTCAAGTCAGAATCAGAATGGGGAAGAAAGGAGATTTCAGTGACTCTGAACATGGCATGGTTGTTGACACCAGACAGACTGGTCTGAGCGTTTCAGAAATTGCTGATCTGCTGGGAACACAACCACCTCTAGGGTTTACAGAGAATGGTCTGAAAAATGGGAAAAAATTGAGTGGGCAGTTCTCTGGGTGAAAATGCCTTGTAGGGTTCAGGGGAGAATGACTGTGTTGCTGTTTGCTGATAGGCAATGACGAATAAAATAACCATTCATTATGATGTTTGCAGAGGAGCAGCTCTGAAGAAACAAAACAGCGAACCTTGAAGCAACAAAAGGCCACACTGGGTGCCACTGCTGCCAGCTAAGAACAGAAAACTGAGGCAATAATTGCCACAAGCTCACCAAAATTAGACAACAGGAGACTGGAAAATTGTTTCCTGGTGTGATGATGAGTCTCAATTTCTGCTGGGACATACAGATGGTAGACATGGAAGCAAACAATATGAAAAACACGGATCTATCCTGCCTTGCAGTGATAGTGTAATGGTGTGT